CTTGTCTATTCTGGGCCATCATGGCTGCAGCGTTCCTCTAATACTACCTTTCTCATAAATTAACATCCCTCTCCAAACCTATTATAGGTTAAATTAGGTGGAGGAGTAGTGTAGGTAGCTGGGCTATGCAGCAGGAGTGGTGATGATAGCAAAGAACTGGGGCAACTGTCAGCCTTTGCTATGACCCTCTGCCCCTACAAAAAAAGGGAAAACTTACTCCAGCAGAACATTTTACTTCTCCCCATAAGATGGACCTTGTACTAGTTAGGAACACCTGAGTACCAAAAGGCTCTGTGTGTCTCCCCTTTTCCGTACATTTTTATTGGTTTCATGAAAGTTGGATGGAGATGAGCAATGGAGATGGAGAGCTACAATAAGCTACCCTTCTCTGTAAAAGCACTGCCTAGCTAGTTCTATTTCTGGGAAGCAGCTTGTCACACCTTAAGCCATCAGCTTCACTTATCTTCAAGCAATTAACTACCTGTTTGCATCAAACGTTAGATTATAAAACTCTAGTTACCCTCCATATACAATAGATGGCACTCTTAATGAGCAGCTGTTCAGTGTTATGCTTTCTGCTTATTCAGTGTGATCCTTATGAGCATTTACTGCTTGCTATTAAAATTCTGCTCTGAAGAATTAGTTTCCTGATGGGCTTTTCTCTGGTAATCGTCACTGTGGTATCTGAATGCTTCACAGAGTCTGTCTGTCCCGTCTGTGATGGCAAGTTTTATCCCCATTTTCCATATGAGGCTCTAACTTTAATTCCTTGTGCTCAATTTGAGATGCCTAGGGCATAATTTTTTAAAGTTCTTAGCATGGAAGTATGAGTTTGGACCTGAAAGCTTGCAAAGACCATTTTTTTTCCCCCCACTATTTAGTTGGTCTAATAAAAGATATAATCTTTAGTCCAAGAGTCTTGAATTTGTCTGCCTCTGCTTTTTAGACCGACATGGATACAAGCTATATCCCTGAATACGAGTACAAATTTGAAGCTTGGATCTCAAGCTAGGCATCCAAAAATGAGAACTGTCGACTTGCATATAACACCTGCTTTGTTTGAGTCATTTGTTTAGCATCACGTAGGACTTCTGTAGGGGCAGGGAATCCAGTTCAACAGGGCAGCCTCCAATCATTTGAACCAAGAAAATCTTTACTCTTACTGTTTTCTCCTGCCTTACTTACAGTACCCTTTTCTAACTTCTGCAGCAAACTAAGTAGGGATCCTGAAGACAGTCTCTTCCTCTATGCAGTCCAAATTTACTGTATACCATGTTTATTCTGAGCACTGAATGAGTCTGGGGGCCCTAGAGAAAAATAGTAGCACATAACCGTGTCATTAAACACTATCTTAAATAGGAATGGGCAATTTTTTTGGCAAGTAAATTCTTCATTAGGTCAGTGGAGGAAAAAAGGAGGGTCATGCAGCACTCCACTGGGTTGCCCAGGTGGTAGTTTCTGCTTGACTGAATATGTAATTTTTATGCAAAAGTGGATAATGTTTGCTAAAAAGGATTGAAAGCAGCCCACCTAAGAAAATTATAGGGCTGTGATTTGGGCAGGTTCCTAGGAAGCTGGAGATGAGGTATTTGAGCTTAAGTCTTCTGCATCCTGGATGAGTGCTTTAATTGCTAGGTTACTGAGTAAGAAGGGGGCGTGGGGTGGGGAAACATTGCTCCTTCCCCCACCTACTTACTGATTTTGTGACCAAGACTTAAATCTAGCCCTTTATTTCCATTGCTTTGATGTGTGTTAAATGCTGGAAATGGAAATAAACTAACTCGCTAGCCCTGGAAATCATTTCTCCCAGCCCTGAAACAAAATAGAGAAAAAGACCTGCTTGGGGTCCAACCCAACAACAAATGTGAACAATAAGGCTGAGGTAAGGTTGTCAAGAAAACCTTGATACTTTTTTTTTTTAATATGTCCTGACTTACGAGATGCAGAGTTAATACTTCAAATTGTTCTTTTAATATAGGGTAGAGGGTTTTTTTTTTTTTTTTTTTTTTAACACAGACTTTTTTTTCTTGAATAATGAAAAGTGTCCCCCTGCCTCTG